TCGTGCTCCCCCCTCCTCCCCCCTCGCCCCCATTAGGTTGGGGTGTTCTTCCTGCTGCATTTCTCTGAAGTTTGGTGCTGAAAAAGGAAAAGGACTCAGACAGGGCTGGGAGAGGCACCTCCTGTTTTCCTGTTCCCTTTAGAAGTGCTCATCTCCTGTCCCTTCCCACGAAGGGAAACGGGAATAGTTTGCCCCATTCCTGGAATCAGCCCCGTTGTGGCAGAGCCCTGCGGGGGGGTTGAGCTGTTTGCCTTCTGTAAAACCCCCAAAATTCCCCCAAAACGTGGACCCCAGTGCTGCAGGACCCCATCAGTGGGGCTGGCCCTGGTTTGGGGCTGCTGAGACCTGCGGAGCGATTGGCTTTCAGTACCTGTCTGAAATGGGAGGCACAGGGAACAGCATTTACTGGAGGACTATTTTTGGCCTTTTTGGGGACAGAGAGCCGAAGCTACCCAGGAAACTCAAATTCATAAAGGCAGCTGATGTGTCTGAGGGCTGGAATGTGTGTGAAGCTCTCGGGGCCACTTGGTGTGATGTGATTTCAGTGCTGAATCATTGCTCGGTGTTTTCTTTGAATTCGAAGCCAGTGAGATCAATGCTTTGCTGAATGGTGTTCCTGTCTAAAAACTTTTTTTTTTTTTTGGACTTCCTTTACCCAAGAAATGCTTTTGGGCTCTGAATCTCTAAATGAATCAACGTGGTAAATAGGAAACCCTAAAATGGAGCAGCTCCTTCAGTACAGAGCGAAGATCTGAGCAGCTTCAGGTCTCAGTGCTCTGTGGAAATCCCTGATCCTTGTGGGTCCTTTTGACTTGACTTATTCTGATCCCATGGCCAAGGAGAGGGCACCAGGACCTGGCTGATGCAGACAGAAGAAGATCCCCAGGTCTGGAGATGCTTTGCTGCATCCTTCCCTCTGTGTTTTCTCTCCTGTGCCCCACTCCTGCAGCACCAGAACTGGGCTGTGCCGGTGCTCACCTCACACCCAACCCCTGGGGTGGGGGCAGGGGGTCTGTGGGCGCTCCGGTGATGCTGTAACCCATTGCTCCTCTGTCATTAGCCCTTATCAGCAGCCGAGGGCCTGGTGGGGTGTGCCAGGTTTCCTCATCCGGGTTGGCAGACGGTGCAGGGAGCTGCCTCTGTCTGCGGGCTCTTGCAGCAAGCTGAGTGCTCAAGGTTGGGGTGAGGGCAGAACCTGAATGAGGTGGACTGCAAAACAAACCTCTGTCTGCCCTCATGCCCACCAGTAGTGCCACAGAGCCATAATACAGATGTGAGGAGGGGGAAAGGAATAGGAACTCCACTAGCTGTGCCACGTGCAAAGCTCTGTTCGTCTTTTTGCTGGAGGGAGGTCGTGGTGCTCACACAAACCCTGTGTTAAAGCAGTCCAGCTGCTGATGATGCAGAGTTGGTGGTGCCCTCTGGATTTCCAGCAGCGTTGCTGCAGTGTGTGCTGAGTTCCTGTGGCTGCAATGACTGCGCAGGGCCAGCCAGGACTCAGGTTGGAGGTATTCCTGATGCAGGAATCTGGAAATCTGTTTACTTCATTCCTCCCTATCAGGAGGGAGGAATAGAAATACGTTCTGCTTTTACCTGTGCTTGTAAGGATTTGTTGCTTAATTGTGATGGGAGATCCCATAAAGATACTTGGCTAATGTGGCAAAAGAGCTTGTCTACGGCCAGATGGTTTTCTCCTACCTCTCCACACTGGGAAAGCTGCTGAGGGTTTGCACCACGATGCTCATCTCTGGTTCCCTGCTCCCTCAGCTCCTCTCTGTGCTGCTGATGCCTTTTGCAGCCAGACTGCAGCCCTTCTGCTCTGCAGTGGGTGTGAGGTGGGGAGGAGGGAACGCATCCAAGATCCTTGGAGCTGCCCTGTGGGTGAGGGAGTGTGGATGTGTTTGGTGGGTTGCGTGCCTGAGAAGTCTCCCAGCCCCACTATGGGGGCATTTGGGTTCCTCTGACCCATTGGGAAAGCGACCATCCCTCCCTGAAGAGTTGGGCAGGACGGTGCTGGTCTCTATGGGCAGGAGGCATCGGTGCATCCATCCTTGTGCACTGCGTGGGGCCGCATCCCCAGAGTGATGCTGAGCTCCAAGTGTGCACGTGGAGGCTGTGCTTCATCTTCCCAGGAGGCTGTCAGTCAGCTGCCTCATAAATCTCGTGGAAAGCAGCGGAGCAACGGGGCTCCCTGGAGCTACAGAAGGAAATGATTTAATTGCCTCTTTAATAGGGAAAGGGGTTGCCTGCGTGCCGCGACTGGATGCTTTGAATAGGCTGATTTGTACTGGGGAAGATTCTTGGGATGCAAGTGCATTGCCAGAGGCTCTGGAGAGGCTCAGGGAGCATCGCTTTGTTTTGACGTGTCACAGAGGTGTTAATTGAGCGTGAGAGCCAGGAAAATAGTGAAGCCTCCCTGAGAGTTGAATGGGTCTCTCCAAGGCTCAGCAAAGCCTTCAGCAGCACTCAGAGCAGCGCTGGGCTGAGGATTTATGGAGGTTTCAAAAGCCATCCTGCTCCTTCCAGGCTGAGCGGGGAAAGCTTTTGTTTTCCTTGGCAAAGAAACGAACCCAACAATGCAAAACAAAGATATTGAGAACATGACAGATGCTTTCGTGGCATCGCTGTGGTTTATTTTCTGCATCTTGGAGTTGTTTAAGGATGTCGGTCTCCAAACGTTGCAGACTTGAAACCCTCTGTGCTGAGATGTCCCCTGTGCTGCCTGGGCAGGGCTCAGACCTTCCCAAAGTGTCTTTGTTCCCCCCAAAGTCCTGGCACAGAGGGAAGTTCCTCACCCTGGGACCTTTGGCTGGACAAATTCCTGCTCTCTCTTTTAGGTGTAAATGTGTTCAGTGCAAGGTGTGAGGGGTCCAACCCCACCCCATCCAACCATTGCAATCTCCTGTTTTCTCCCAGCTTCAGGACTGCTGCCTTCAGCACACTGCATTTCGCGTGCGTGCAAAGCCACAGACCGTTCCTGTAAAGGTTTTTCAATCCTGGGCTTTTGCAATAAATGTATTTCTGGCTCTGTGCAGTGATTGAGCGTGGGGCAGCCGAAGCCATGGCTGCTGAGTTGTGTCCCTCAGTGAGGTTTGTGCTTTGGCTCCAGCTGTGCTTTGGCCTTTGCTTTGCAGCTGATGCAGAATCGTGCTGTCAGAAGGCAGCGTTTCAGCGCTGTGACGCTGGGAAGGAAAACCTGCTGCTGTGCAGATGACTCAGGCTGTCAGTGGGAGCAATCCTTCTCCAGAGCCTTTTTCCCCTCTGCCAAGTCTTGGAGGAGCTGTGAGTGTGGGTTTTGCAATGGCGATTTGGCAGGAGAAAAAGGAAAGTGACAAAGCATGAGAAAATACTTTAAGCAAAATGCTGCCTATCAGAGCCCGAGGGGCTACAGGGGGGGGCTCAGAAGTAACTGTGATAACGCTGAGCCCAAAGGAGGGTCCTTTGCTTTTAAGGAGGAGGAAGAGGAGCAGATGCTGCGTGCGTGCTTCCCAGTAGAACAGGTAACTCCTGCACTCAGTGCATCCCCAGCAGAGGTTCCAGCTCTGATCCATGCCTTCACACAGCTTCCTTCCACAGCTGGGTTACATTTGGGGAGCACCGACCCCCTCCTGAAGTGCTCTCCTGTTTGTGCAGACCTTCTGCTCCCCTGCAGATGCGTTCAGCCCCCCCTCCACCCCCCGATCCCCAAAGATGATCAGGGGACTGGAGCACCTCCCCTGTGAGGACAGGCTGAAGGAGCTGGGCTTGTTCAGCCTG